GCCCGATAGTGCTCTGTGGACCACACCGATCAAGAGGCACCAGCAGCCGTCATGAACACGGCACCGAGCGGCTTGGAAATTTTTACTATGGTCACTGATAGCTTCGAATAAATGTGCTTTGAGATCTGTCCCCTAGTAGAGTATTACTGCACCACTTGAGCTCACCCCGTGGCGGTCGGACCGTAGGTGGTGCTACCCAAAGGCAGCCACTTCCGAGGGCGTGATATCTGAGAATAGCCAGGTTTCGGTGAAGGGCATCAGGTCTGGACGAGTCTCCGAGGTAAGCAACTGAATTTTATTCCGCGTATTCCTTAGACGGGACACACGGGCGGTTAGTACGCGTAGTCCGGTTTTCTGCTTTACCGTCTGGAGGTGACGAGAATCCGCATCCAGCTGGCTCCTGTGGTCTTCCCAACTACGCAAAAATCCACTTTGAGGGGGCAAAACTTGGAGGAGTTCTCCTGCCCTTTACCGAGGTGGAAAGCACAGACAATGTGTATTCGCTGTTCGCCAATATCAAACAGTACAGAAATCATCCACTCGAGCAGTATTTGTTCCTCCAACCTCCTCTCCTTTGAGGTAGCCTCTTCCGATTCGGCCGCGTTCACGATGATGAGACAACGATCACTGGATGGTTGAATGCACTCTGAGATTGGTGCCTTACGGGATGCTGTATTTATTTTATCACTTTTTCCAACTCAGAAAGTCTGTTGAGAACTATCTTCATTTGTTCCTAAGAAAATAGAAGCTCAGGCTTATACAAAGACTTAGTCCTACTTTGGGAGCCATATGTGGCTGGGCTTGGGCCACCAAAGGCCAAGGTCACTTTCTCCTTCAGTACGACAGCATATGACTGCCATAGGCTCACTAAGCTGGATGTGTGTTAATTGCTCAGAATGAGAAGTAGACGGGGCTGAGGTGGCCGCAACTTTTGGAGCGTCGCTAGATGAGGCCTTGCTGCACTTTATGGCATGCCTAGCACAAGTAGCTGAAGCACGTATTTCAGGAGGTTGATGTGGCGGACGCTTTGCCAACGCAACAGCATTGATGCCATATCAACAACTCCGCAGAAACCCTTTGTGCTCGGCTTAGGTCTTGAATAGTGGTTCAGTAAGTTGCGAGCAACGTTTGTGACCACATGCCCAGAGGTTGCGGGCAATACATTGAATACGCTTAGTCACCACGTTCACACAACGCAAACACTGTGAGTTAGACATAAGCAACTGTTCTTAGAAAGCATTTGACAGTAGACAACATTCGGCACGTCTCTTCAAACAATTGGATTCACGTTACTTCACCTAAAAAGCTCGAGCAGTATAGGACGCCAGAAAAGCGAGTTAACGCAAAGCATTCTCATGAGCTTCGTGTAGTCCTCTCAACCCCGAAGGAACCCAAAGCGTTAATGCGCGTTGCATACAAACTCAAGGGTAGTAATGTCAGCGTTCAGCCGGACCTCCCACTGGCAGATCGACTGAAGTTAAAGGAAGCCATCAAAAGCCTCAAAAGCAGGCGGGCGGCTGGTGAGCAAGGCCTCCGTCTTGTGGGTTTTCAGGTGGTCAGCCGGAAGTCAAATTCTGCCCTACCAGAACCTCTCCTGGTAGCGTACGACCCAGGGCTGGTCGTGCCGAGTTCCTTCGGGTAGTGCTTAGTAATGTGCGTAGCCTAAGGAACAAGGTACACGAGGTGGGTCTACTTGTAGACAAATCTCGTCCCGACATACTTGCTATCACCGAAACGTGGCTGTCCCCAGATATCACAGACGGTGACGTTTTCCTGGCTACGCACTGCTTAGATGCGATCGCTCCGTTGGCCGCCAAGGTGGGGGCGTCGCTCTTTATGTGAGTTGTAAACTCGATGTGTTGAGGACTTGGGTGTTCCAGTCGCCGGATCAAACTGTTGAAGCCCTCTCGGCTATTGTGTGCACTTCCTCTGCTCAGTTTACAGTTGTAGTGGTATATCGAAGTCCTGGTAGTATTTCCAGGGAGGTTATTGAATTTATTCGTACTCAGGCTGCCAATAGGTGTCTAATACTGGGTGACTTCAACCTCCCTGAAGTCTGCTGGGCTGATCTATCTTGCAGTTCGGCGGTGGGCACTTTCGGTTCGGATCTCCTTGAGCTAACATTGCAACTGCCTTTGCATCAGTTCGTGGACCTCCCGACTAGATATATGCGCAACCAAATTTTGTCTACCTTGGATCTCATTTTTGCGAAGTCGCACGATTTCGTAAGTGGTATTACCTACGACTGTCCTCTAGGAGCCAGTGACCATGTCTGCATATCCTTTCGATGTGCTCTAACTAAGTGTCATCAAGCTACCGCTGAGGCATGTCCAAATATTTGGTGGGCAGACTTTAACGCAATACGAGCCAAAGCTTCAGTTTTGCGTTGTGCGATCACCGTGGCTGACACCATTGAGACAGCCTGGGAGAAATTTAAGGCAAACCTCACCGAGATCTCTGCTCCCCACATCCCATTCACTAAGAGAAGGGTGACACGGGCGCAGCCTCCATGGATAGATCATACAGGTAAATACCTGCTCAGGAAGCGCTCTAAGTGCTGGCGAACTTACCAAGCGGCTTCATCAACCAGCACCTACGAAAACTATCGAGCGGTTAGAAATAAATGTAAGCACTCTCTTCGTCTTCCGTACGAGGAGGATTTGGCTAACGCAGCTGTAACAAACCCAAAGAAGTTCTTTGCTTACGTAAAGAGACGTAGCGGTACAAACTCGTCTATACCGGCTTTACTACGAGCGGACGGGACCCATGGGCATGCCTGTATACTTAGCGAACAGTATACTGGTGTCTTTTCTCATGAGGCCTCTCTACCTCAAGTTGAGCTGGTCACTAAAGTTCCGGAGGATTCTTGCCTAACTGAAATAAGCATAACGGAGACACAAGTCTTCGGGCTATTGCAAGGGCTAAATCCTTCCAAAGCCGCTGGCCCTGATTCAATTCATCCGAAGCTGATGCATGAATTGGCCGCTGAGCTAAGTGGCCCTCTGACATGCATGTATACAATATCACTCGACAGCTGTGCCTTAACTTCTGAATGGAAGAAGGCAATCATCTGTCCGATTTTTAAGGGCGGGGACAGAGTTCTGCCCGCGAACTACCGGCCTGTCAGCTTAACAAGCGTAGTAGTTAAGTTGTTTGAAAAATTGGTCAGGGATTCGGTGGAGAATCACCTGATTAAGTTTAACCTTCTCAGTGCGGCCCAGCACGGATTCCGTAAGGGATTTTCATGTCTGACAAATTTGCTTGTAGCTCGTGAAAGCTGGGTTGAGGCAGTAGACAACGGTCACGCCATCGACGTGCTTTTCGTTGACTTCTCGAAAGCCTTTGATACTGTCCCACATCAACGACTCTCATTGAAGTTGAGATCGTATGGGATATCTGGAGCCGCCCTTAAATGGGTTTCTGCTTTCCTAGAGGGCAGAGAACAGTGTGTACGCGTGGGGCGTAGCCTTTCGCTTAGACAAGCTGTTCTTAGTGGCGTTCCGCAGGGCTCGGTTCTAGGGCCGTTGCTTTTCGCAATTTATGTCAATGACCTACCCCAGGAGCTTGGAGTACCGTCGCTATTGTTTGCTGATGACCTCAAGCTCTGGAATGTTGTGGATATCCCTGGTGGCTCTGAGGCACTTCAGAGTGCTTTGGATAGGCTCTGGGATTGGTCGACCTTATGGTTGATGCCCATAAATCAGGCGAAATGTTCTGTCCTCCGCATTGGAGGTGCTAGTCCCCCCACGCGCTATGTAGTTGGTGGAAGTGAACTCCCTGTTGTCATTCAGCAGGTTGATCTAGGTATCACCCATACCTCCTTGCTTCACTCTGGGGAAAATTGGAGGAAGGCTGCTTGTAGAGGGTTCCGTATGATGTGGTTTATTCGCCGCTCCTTCGGTGTCCTAACGGCCAATATCTTTGTGAAGCTGTTCTCAGCTTTCGTGCGACCTCACTTAGAGTACTGTATCCAGGCTTGTCCACCTTGTATTGTAAGGGACAAAATGGAACTGGAGAGGGTTTTGCGAGTGGGTACAAGGTTAGTGCAAGGATTACGGGGGCAAACGTATCCCGAACGTTTGCTTAGCTTGGGTATGTACTCAATGCACTACCGCAGAATTAGAGGAGGCTTGATTCTCACTTACCGTATCTTAACGGGTAAGATTGGTCCAGATTTATCCTGGCTATTTAGTCCCGCCAAGCTGCCTAGTCTCCGAGGTCACCCGTTGAAGCTGCACAAACAACGTTCTGACCGGGTAAGGACGGAAACTCGCTTGTCGCGTCGAGTTATTGAACGTTGGAACTCGCTTCCAGCGCACGTGGTTAGGGAGTCTACGGTAGAGGGTTTCGAGCGTCAGTTAGATGCTCTTGGGTGGCAGTACCAAACCTTCCCCTTCTCCTAACCGACTTGTATCTTCAACTTTCCCTTCGTTCTTTTTTAATCTTCTTCTCACCTTGGTATTATCATTATTTAGCTGACGTTCCTCCTCTTCTTTTCTTAACTTACCCCTCACTCTTTTACTTCACATAAACCGGCCCGCAGGGACTGCTGGGCAGGAAAATGTGGGCAGTAATTGGTTGGACAGGGTGTGATGCGGTCTTTGTTTTAGGCTTTTCAACATCTCAAGCAGACCTGTCAATTCCCGATCCAACGATACGCAAAAGAAGGAACATTCACGGGATTATCCTATCGTTCCGGTCCCAACTGAACTTGAACTTGAACTTGACTTCACCTTAAATGTTTCTAATAACGCACAACCCGATTTGCCCCGATGCAAAAATCACAATGAAATAATGCGGACACTTTGATCAAATTGCATTTGTTCAGCAACCTAAAATACCTTATTCAGCATTCATCTGCATTTAGGAAAAAATTTTAACAACCGGATACCTCTTATTTTAAGCCGAAGTTAAATTACTAGACCAATTACTTTATTTTGTTCATCGGAGGAAAAATTCGAGTAGTTGAAATGCAGTTTACGAGTTTGTTTTGCTACATCCATGGTCTTGGTAGAGGTCGCTGGTACTCGAGCACTCTGCGTCTGCGGTACTGCCCGCGCTCCTGATGCGGTCGGTCCGTCGATGCGCCGCGCTGTGATGAGTAACACATTAAACTCCATCATGCTGATTCTTAGAACCGGATTGGATTCAGCGCAAAATGTGAGTCAGAGTTCTCCTATGGGGTTCCTGATAATGCTGCCAATCCCCACCCGGATTTCAGCATACTACGGCTTGTCCCACCGCATCTCTCACATGTTGCGTGTTTCCTCTCTGGTTCTTGGCACGCTAGATTATTTATAAAACAACAGGATCTGACTGTTCATGGCAACTGCTCCTGCAGCCGATAATTGATCATGTTCCATCACCCACAGAAATCCCGATAACACCAACAGACGGTCGACTGTCTCATTTCCGTCCGCTTTTTGTAATCGATGCGTGTAAAACAACAAGCAATTGACACCGTCAGCAGTTGTGTCGAATGTTACCTAAACTATCAGAAATACGCAACAAAAGGCTTTCTAGTAGGTAGTTACCAGTTCATTTAATTTTAGTAGGCGGAAGTGATGTTAGCCAGGGAAGCCCCACCACCAGTTCAGCACTAGAACCACGTATCCCTTCAAGCCGGTAATCTCCAGGAAACCGGAGCAGTCTCAGTAAGACAATGCGCTTGCGTAGGTGAGTATCTAAGGCCTGTGACTTCCTTTGCTCATCTCACCAACAACAGTCGCCGGTAGACGACAGCTCATTCACTGCCCGAGTGGGAAGCAACAGCGGTGCGGTCTTTGAACTTCCTCGGAAATTCTTCCAGTTGTGACCTCCGGTCGAGCTCCATCTTGATCCGAAAAAGCTGCCGCGGCTCGTTCTCTAGTTCCCCACTTAGTATGCGCCTCGTAAGGACAATGTCTCCATGACAGCGGCAGTATTCCATGGGGAACGGATTCATCTGAAGCCTGAGGTAGTAAAGATCACGAAGCCACGCCTCTGGACCTTTTCAATTCAGGCACATTCAAGCTTAGTGGCAATATAGCTGCCAGTCCATATACTAGAATCGGTCGAACATGAGAGTTAAACGGAAGCCTGAAGGTCTTCGGTCATTCGAGAGAAAGATTTTCTATGACAGCACATCCTGTTTGCAACTGCGACCTTATTAATGTATCCTGTGGTTTTTAGGTTGGGTGCTATTATTATACCTAGATCTTTCTCCTGAGCGGCTTATTTGAGAAAAAACCCACCGATATGGTAAGTTTCAAGGGGCTCAGAAGCCCCGATAGCTTGGGCGCAGTATTTTTTCTAGTTTACTGGTAGGTCCCACTTGATGCACTATTTATGCAACAGATCAAGGGTCACCTGCAGTTCATCAAGCGCCTGCTAATCAGGCACTTCAGACCATAGCTTGAAGTTGTCGGCATATAGCAAGCATTCGGTTTGGAGTGCTGCAGGAAGATCATTACTATACAGCTTGGACAGTTCGGGTCCAAGGACCGATCGCTGTGGAACACTGTTTGTCATGAGCACTGGCTTGGAAAGCGTATAAGATCTACGAGTCTTTTTAATGTCCGATTTCCGTCCGTTTTCGGAGTGCAATCAGTGTGTGGGAAATAAGGTCAACAATGCGTTACACAGATGAAAAACCGTGTCTAGCATTGTTGATCGCGATGCTTTACTATTATTCCGTTCGAATAGCTATACTATACATGTACCCTACCTCCGAAATGTTTCGAGGCACTGCAAAAGGGTTTCGTAGGTTTCTTCAATTGTAACTGCCGCCTGAACAATCACTAAGGCAGAAATCAATAGATCGGGGATTGGGAATCCATGCAAAACTGCACGGAAATGTGCTGGCAGTTTTGTTTTGCTGTCCGATTCACCTCCGAGATTTGTTCCGTCATAGCTTATTTCGGATGGAGATCGGTCAAGACTATCAGGGTCCAGACTTTGGGCCGACCGAAATTGCCTTCGTCCCTACTAGGGATCCTTGTAGTCCCCAAGCATTTGCTCCTAAGTGCTTTGTTCCAGGTGATTTATCAGTAGTGCTCGCATAAACCGGCGTTTTTGTAGAATTGTGTTCTTTTACCGGTGCCATACATTTTTTGAGGACGAGTATCCCACCTGTATCACTTGTTCACCGTCGCTAGTTGCTTTCACTGCTGAATGTTTTACTGTCGCGTCTTTCCACTGTGTGCCATAGTATGCGATAATCTTAATATTAGCAGAATGAATCCAATATACTGATAATGAGGGGAACGTTTCTTCCAGCTGCAATGCAGCAGCCGGGAGAGGAGAAGTAAATACAACATAGCAAAAGCCTACGGAGAGTACAGAAGTAACGAAGACAGTCAGGCGATAGATAATAGCAAGAGAGAAAGCTCGATTTCCCGTATAGTTCTTTTGCTTTGCCAATTCCATGCAATGCTAATGGTGTCCACTTGTATAGTGTCTATGACAATAAAGTGCATGGAGTGGTGGGATGAGATCATGGTTACGCCTGGAACATACAGTCTCAACGTTCAGCCGGACCTCCCACTGGCAGATCGAATAAAGTTAAAGGAAGCCATCAAAAGCAGGTGGGCGGCTGGTGAGCAAGGCCTTCGTCTTGTGGGTTTTCAGGTGGTCAGCCGGAAGTCAAATTCTGCCCTACCAGAATCTCTCCTGGTAGCGTACGACCCAGGGCTGGTCGTGCCGAGTTCCTTCGGGTAGTGCTTAGTAATGTGCGTAGCCTAAGGAACAAGGTACACGAGGTGGGTCTACTTGTAGACAAATCTCGTCCCGACATACTTGCTATCACCGAAACGTGGCTGTCCCCAGATATCACAGACGGTGATGTTTTCCTGGCTACGCACTGCTTAGATGCGATCGCTCCGTTGGCCGCCAAGGTGGGGGCGTCGCTCTTTATGTGAGTTGTAAACTCGATGTGTTGAGGACTTGTGTGTTCCAGTCGCCGGATCAAACTGTTGAAGCCCTCTCGGCTATTGTGTGCACTTCCTCTGCTCAGTTTACAGTTGTAGTGGTATATCGAAGTCCTGGTAGTATCTCCAGGGAGGTTATTGAATTTATTCGTACAGGCTGCCAATAGGTGTCTAATACTGGGTGACTTCAACCTCCCTGAAGTCTGCTGGGCTGATCTATCTTGCAGTTCGGCGGTGGGCACTTTCGGTTCGGATCTCCTTGAGCTAACATTGCAACTGCCTTTGCATCAGTTCGTGGACCTCCCGACTAGATATATGCGCAACCAAATTCCGTCTACCTTGGATCTCATTTTTGCGAAGTCACACGATTTCGTAAGTGGTATTACCTACGACTGTCCTCTAGGAGCCAGTGACCATGTCTGCATATCCTTTCGATGTGCTCTAACTAAGTGTCATCAAGCTACCGCTGAGGCATGTCCAAATATTTGGTGGGCAGACTTTAACGCAATGCGAGCCAAAGCTTCAGTTTTGCGTTGTGCGATCACCGTGGCTGACACCGTTGAGACAGCCTGGGGGAAATTTAAGGCATACCTCACCGAGATCTCTGCTCCCCACATCCCATTCACTAAGAGAAGGGTGACGGGCGCAGCCTCCATGTATAGATAATACAGGTATATACCTGCTCAGGAAGCGCTCTAAGTGCTGGCGAACTTACCAAGCGGCTTCATCAACCAGCACCTACGAAAACTATCGAGCGGTTAGAAATAAATGTTAGCATCATCTTAGAACTCTTCGTCTTCAGTACGAGGAGGATTTGGCTAACGCAGCCGTAACAAACCCAAAGAAGTTCTTTGCTTACGTAAAGAGACGTAGCGGTACAACCTCGTCTATACCGGCTTTACTACGAGCGGACGGGACCCATGGGCATACCGACTATGATAATGCCTGTATACTTAGCGAACAGTATACTGGTGTCTTTTCTCATGAGGCCTCTCTACCTCAAGTTGAGCTGGTCACTAAAGTTCCGGAGGATTCTTGCCTAACTGAAATAAGCATAACGGAGACACAAGTCTTCGGGCTATTGCAAGGGCTAAATCCTTCCAAAGCCGCTGGCCCTGATTCAATTCACCCGAAGCTGATGCATGACTTGGCCGCTGAGCTAAGTGTCTCTCTGACATGAATGTATACAATATCACTCGACAGCTGTGCCTTAACTTCTGAATGGAAGAAGGCAATCATCTGTCCGATTTTTAAGGGCGGGGACAGAGTTCTGCCCGCGAACTACCGGCCTGTCAGCTTAACAAGTTGTTTGCAAAATTGCTCAGGGATTCGGTGGAGAATCACCTGATTAAGTTTAACCTCAGTGCGGCGCAGCACGGATTTCGTAAGGGATTTTCATGTCTGACAAATTTGCTTGTAGCTCGTGAAAGCTGGGCTGAGGCAGTAGACAACGGTCACGCCATCGACGTGCTTTTCGTTGACTTCTCGAAAGCCTTTGATACTGTCCCACATCAACGGCTCTCATTGAAGTTGAGATCGTATGGGATATCTGGAGCCGTCCTTAAATGGGTTTCTGCTTTCCTAGAGGGCAGAGAACAGTGTGTACGCGTGGGGCGTAGCCTTTCGCTTAGACAAGCTGTTCTTAGTGGCGTTCCGCAGGGCTCGGTTCTAGGGCCGTTGCTTTTCGCAATTTATGTCAATGACCTACCCCAGGAGCTTGGAGTACCGTCGCTATTGTTTGCTGATGACCTCAAGCTCTGGAATGTTGTGGATATCCCTGGTGGCTCTGAGGCACTTCAGAGTGCTTTGGATAGGCTCTGGGATTGGTCAACCTTATGGTTGATGCCCATAAATCAGGCGAAATGTTCTGTCCTCCGCATTGGAGGTGCTGGTCCCCCCACGCGCTATGAAGTTGGTGGAAGTGAACTCCCTGTTGTCATTCAGCAGGTTGATCTAGGTATCACCCATACCTCATTGCTTCACTCTGGGGAAAATTGGAGGAAGGCTGCTTGTAGAGGGTTCCGTATGATGTGGTTTATTCGCCGCTCCTTCGGTGTCCTAACGGCCAATATCTTTGTGAAACTGTTCTCAGCTTTCGTGCGACCTCACTTAGAGTACTGTATCCAGGCTTGTCCACCTTGTCTTGTAAGGGACAAAATGGAACTGGAGAGGGTTTTGCGAGTGGGTACAAGGTTAGTGCAAGGATTACGGGGGCAAACGTATCCCGAACGTTTGCTTAGCTTGCGTATGTACTCAATACACTACCGCAGAATTAGAGGAGACTTGATTCCCACTTACGGTATCTTAACGGGTAAGATCGGTCCAGACTTGTCCTGGCTATTTAGTCCCGCCAAGCTGCCTAGTCTCCGAGGTCACCCGTTGAAGCTGCACAAACAGCGTTCTGACCGGGTAAGGACGGAAACTCGCTTGTCGCGTCGAGTTATTGAACGTTGGAACTCGCTTCCGGCGCACGTGGTTAGGGAGTCTACGGTAGAGGGTTTCGAGCGTCAGTTAGATGCTCTTGGGTGGCAGTACCAAACCTTCCCCTTCTCCTAACCGGCTTGTATCTTCAACTTTCCCTTCGTTCTTTTTAATTTTCTCACCTTGGTATTATCATTATTTAGCTGACATTCCTTGCTTCTTTTCTTAGCTTCCCCTTCACTCTTTTACTTCACATAAACCGGCCTGGCAGGGACTGCTGGACAAGAAAATGTGGGCAGTAATTGGTTGGACAGGGTGTGATGCGGTCTTTGTTTTAGGCTTTTCAACATCTCAAGCAGACCTGTCAATTCCCGATCCAACGACACGCAAAAGAAGGAACATTCATGGGATTATCCTATCATTCCGGTCCCAACTGAACTTGAACTTGAACGTTACGGCTTTTCAGAAGCTTTCGTCGTTTTCACAATATCGCCTTATACTGCATTCCAAGTTACCGTCTATCCAACCTCTTATCATTGCTTCACTCCCATAGGTGTCCGACCGGGTGTGGCATGGTCCAGTCGCTCAGTTTGCGATCATCCATTGATGCCCGCGTATGCCTAAGCGATATCGCACCCCTCGTGCGATCGCCGGTGACTACTCATCAGCGGAGCGTACTGCTAATGCTGCCTTCGTTGGTCCTTGCTTTCCGATAAACGCGGTCGAGGGGAACCTTTCTACTGCTCTTATGACTGTGCCGAACGGGCAATAGTCTGTCCTAACCAAAGCACATGTTATGCATTTAGCTGATGATCGCTTCATTCTACCCACCTCTGATCGTGTCAATTCCGTCGTAAATTCGAAATTTATGTATCAGTAACTTTTTCAGGCGAGCGTTTGAGAACCTCTGAC